TCTAGACCAAAACCCTATAGAAAACGTTTAGAGGTTAATGAAAATTAATATACAAAAAAAAAATTCAATCAATTAGAGGGTTAAAGAGGAAACTTACAAAAGAATGGAACCGATTATCACCTGTACTTGCCACGAATTTGGTAGCTAATATGAAAAGATATACAGCTGCACTTATAGAGTTAAAGTGTGACTACACAATGTATTAATTTTAGTTAGTTGGTTATGTATTTTTTAAATAAAAAAAAATTTTAAATTTACTTACTTGTAGCCGGAATTAAAGGCGGTCAGATACTTATGACCGCTACTGTACCTTTTTTATAAATATTCATATATTATCATGATTTTTGTATATATCTTCAAAATATAACTAAAGAAACTAAATCTAATACTTTAAAAACAATTTGTTATAATTCAACTCATATGTAATTGTAATATTTTTATGTATATATGTTTGCTATACTAATATATCTCTATATAATCCAATTCATAATAATATTTAGAATAAAATATATAAATAATAAAAGAATCATTTTTATAAATTCATCATTACATATTTTTTCAATTTCAGTTTTTATAATTAATTTTGGATAAATTTAACCTAACATAACTCTATCAATATTAAAGATATTAAAATTCTAATCCAAAATTCTTAAAAAGCAGATCATAATTTATTTATTTTATGGATTAAATTTTTAACTTTATATATAATAAAATTTTTTTTTTGCATTTTAAATTTGTTACATTTTTATTATAATAAAGTTCCTATTATAGAGGTTCTGCACTGTAGTAAAATATTTGTCACCCTGCGTCATACCCCTCAACTTTTCATTTTTACTATGTATTTTGGGAACAGAATTTTTTCGGTAAGTGAAATACTATTCGTCACGCCATTATTTGTCACATAGTTAATTTATTAATGCCGTAATGCCGGCCAATAAGTCACATGAGGGTGGAATTTTGTGGTGATTCAAAAAAAAATTTCGGACTCTGATGTGAAAAATTTCGAAACTTTCTTGTTCATGATTTCTTATGAGGGAAATCGACGAATTATATAAAAGCTAATATATTGAAAAAGGAGTTTTTCCAATGTCAGGTGATCCAATTATAGTACATCCTTTTTTTCCATAATACGATCATTTTCCATTTTTTTCAATCATTTGCAAACATGATTTCTTTATTATATATGTCCTGTGTTGATGTTCCAAATTTTCCATCTGGAGATTTACATAAACGTAGAAATTTATTGTTGAATCCTTCAAAGATTCACCATTAACCGTTCATCTCGTGAATTTAACATTACAATATAATTTCGTTCTTTTCAACTTTCATATACTCGGATAATGGTCCTGATATGAAGTTAGTTTTGTAACACCATCTGAATTTAAGACTGTTTTTGCTTTAGGATCATTCCAAAAATCTCTTTGAAAAGGAGCAACAGGTTCACGGTTAGAAAATTGAAATTCACCCGGTCGTTTCATTGGGATGGAAGGTGAATCATCAGTGGTTCCTAATCGAATAAAAAAGATGTGAGATAATGCAAATTTCTTGTTCGAGAGGTGAGACATTTACATTTGGTGCGCGGGCGATGGCGTTGCACGATGATATGAATGTGATTAGCTAGAAATACATAACCAGCCTGAAAAATCGTCTATTCAATTCAATTGGACTCTCATCTTCACCAAGTTCTTGTTCAATGTCAATATCATTACGAAATTTCTCGTTAAGTATTTTCAACTTATTATCTTTTTTGAAAGGGATTTCAAACTTCCATAGGCTCAGTTTATTAGCTTCGTTGTTGTTGGTTTCTTGAACTTTCCAGGACATCTACTTCTTAAACGCGGGTTATTTCCCCAATGTCAACCTGAATCGCATTATTATAGGAGTACCTAGAAGGTAACAAAATAACGTAATGTCGGCCATATATCTGCAAACGCGGAAATCGAGAGTTAAAACGGTTAAAAATTATATTTTCAGTAATAAAAATAATGCCCTTTTTGGATTTAACGTTGTACTAGCCGATTTTAGGAAATCTTCTAGGCTATAGTGGGTCTTAAATAATCAACTTTTTATTCGTGGATCAAATCAGCAAAAATTTGTGATAAAAAAAAAAAAATTTGGTTTTTTTTTTTTTTTAAAAAAAAAAAAAAAAATAATTTATAAAAAAAATGGTTAAGAGAAATAAGAGAAAGACGACCAATTTCAATACACCACAGTCTAATCATACGACTGTGGAACAGTCAAGTCGTAGTGCAGTTCTCATTGAATCGTTACTTGGTCGATTTGATTCTAATGCAGACTTTTTCGCATTAGTCACTCCTGGTGTAGATCGTCATCGTATGCGAATATTTGATACGCATACTGGAAAAGTCAATAATGATTTCTTTTCGGAAGCAGAAGAAAAATTTAATTGCTTGACCTGGGGAAAACTTTATGAAAGAGATTTGAATGGAAAAGTTGTAAGTCGTATGAGGCATGTTAATTGCGGAGATGCAGTTGAATTTAAAACATTTGCGTCAACGGTTTTTTTTTTGTGTTCGGATAATTAATTCCTTTTACATTATTCATATATTAGGATACACCTTCACCGAATAAGAAAAAGAAGCCTTTACCCAAAAATAAACAAAGCATTAAGGTCGTTGCGCTAGGTTCACAAAATGGAACAATCGTAATTTATTCAACTATACATGGATCTGCCATAAAAACCTTAAGTGGGTCACATACATCACCTGTCAATGACTTTGTTTTTACTAAGGATGGTAAACGGGGATATTCTTGTGGTGAAGACATGAACATTGTAGAATGGGATATCGATAATGAAAAAGTCATTAGGTATTTATTTGTATGACACGTTGATGCCGGATTTATTCAACGTAATAAAAATTTTTTTTTCAAATTAGTAATTGGAACGTTGATTCACAAATGGCAAAGTTTAAACTTGCTCTATCACATGACGAGACTAAAATATTATCCGCGGGGCATACTATTAAAATGTGGGATCTGCAATCCAAGCAAGTTCTCAAGACATTTACTGGTCACGCAACCAGAATCACTAATATTATGTTCTCTGCGAAAGATGAAATATGTATATCTTCTGCCGAGCATGATCGATATATAAATATTTGGAAGTTTCTGGATGGAGATAATGATAATGGCAATCCGGCTGGTAAATTAACTTAAATGGTTTTTATTTATTTTGAATAACAATCTAAAATAATTTCTTCAATTTAGCCTTAATCCTGGATGAAAACATCACGGATTTTTCAATTTCTAAAGTTAACACAGTTTTAGCAGTCTCTGAGACTGGTATATTACATCTATTTAAACATACAACAAATTCGGCAACAAATGACATAACGTCTCCGAATAAAAAAAAGAAACGGGTTTCAACTCGAACCGCTGATAGCAAAATAAAATTTCTTAATGATGATGATTCGGGTATAATACCTATCCTTTCCGCGTGTTTTGTTGATGAAGAAAGCAAAGGATCAGGTTATGTAATGGTTGCTCGAGGGAGTACTGTGAAACCTATTTTTGAAAAAGTGGTATGTTCAATTTAGATTATGAAAATGTCACTTATTTCTTTAATTATTTTAATTATTAACTAATATCGTTATGATAATTAATATTTAGCAATTCACAAATACACATGGTGATGTAATTTTGCAAGATATAACATTAACACGTCATCACCCGACAGGATTTTTAATGAACGAATCAAATTTGGCTGCCAGAAATCTTGTAAGTATGAACTGTATTCATTTTATTTTTTTTTTTAAAAAAAAAAAATTAATATTTATCATTCAAAAAAAAAAAAAAGCAAGAAACACAAAAATCGTATGATGATTCCAAAACCAAAGTGTCTGGAACGTTGAACTATGAAATAATTTCCGATAATGATTCGGAAAATTCAGATAATGCAAACAAAGTAATATAAATTCGATTCTCATAAAAACTTGAGCAATTATTTATTAGTACTCATTTTAAACACAAGTATTTATTTCTTGGCAATTAACACTAGGATAATATATTAAACTTAAAAGACTTGAATATAGTTGATGTTGGGAACACTTCAAACCAGAAACCAGAAATTGAACAACACAAATTCAAAAAACTTGCCGGACACTCCATGCAACAAATACTGGTTCAGGCTTTACATTCAAACGATAAGCAACTACTTTTAACCGTATTAAGACGAGAGGAACTTGACATAATCAATAATACTGTGAAAAAATTACCGACAAAGTATATTGTACCATTTCTAGAGAAGGCGATTGCTAGGTTTCAAGAAAAACCTAATACAGGAATGTGTATTCTGCAATGGATTAAGGCAGTTTTGTTATTTCATATGGCTTATTTAATGACGGTAAACATCTATTATGCATATATATATGTGTGTGAAGCTTGATTTATGAATATTATTTGATTTTTCTTGTATAACCAATTTTTCTTTTTATAGATTCCAGATTTGACTCGCAAACTTTCAAACTTTTATCAAACATTAGATGCTCGTTCTGTGTCATTCCAGAAATTATTAAATTTTTATGGACGTCTCGATTTGGTTATGAAACAAGTATCAATGCGACAACAAGTAGTTGAAAATAATTCTAATAAACCTATATTGTCTTATGTTGAGAGTAGTGACGAAGAAGAAGATGATGATGATGACAGCGAAGATGACGATGATAATGAGGGAGAGGTAAATTCTAAACTTCAATAACTGAAATTTAAGTAACATACTAACTTCTCTTTATCATAAAGGATTCTGAAATAGAAGAATCTGATGATGAGCCTGAGGAAGTATTTACAAACCATGGTCTACAAAATGGAGTAAATGAAGATGAAGATAAAGAAATGGCCGATGCAGTCAGAGACAATAAAGACAATGAAGATGAAGATGAGGAAATGGCCGACGTAATCAAAGACAATGAAGAAGAAGAAGATGAGGTAGTAGAAGAAGAAGAAGAAGATGATGATGATGATGATGATGATGACGATGATGATGACGATGATGATGACGAAGAAAATGAAAATTATATAGATAATGAAGAAAATAAGGGAATAAAGGTTAACAATAAGAATCCTGTAGAAAATGAGGATGAAGATGGGGATGATGATGGGGATGATGATGAGGAAGAAAATAGTAATGGTTTTGAAGACTACGATTCAGAATCATAAGTGGGGGTTTGAGAATATATTATTATTACCAAAAAAAAAAGTATTAGCCTTTATAGAACAGTAATGTTGATAATTTTATTTGATAATAAATTTAACTCTAAAAAAAAATGAAATTTGGAACAAACATTGGAAGGATCATTATTTCTGAATGAAATTGTACGTAATTCGTTATCAGTATCTTGTATATTTAACACCAGATCCTCGTGGTCGCTTTTCATTTTTTATTTGACGTTTACTTCTACTTTGAACATCGGATCCCATATTAGCACCAGAAAAGAAAGTCGGCATTATGAAGACTGTCCAAGCTTTATAAGTCGCGAAAGCTGGGATCTATGTTTATTTTAATTTAATCGTTAGAGATACGAATTCCAAGATAATGAATTATTATTTAAATAAGTACTCACTATAAAAAATAAATACCATGCCCATACAAAGAACATGCTTGTCATATGTATAAACCATGTTATATAAATTATATCAAATATATACCTAATATTAATGCAAACGTTAAACATTTTAATCTAAAAATTCTAATATATATATTTATATAAAAAAAGAAACAACAAATATGAAAGAAACATTTACGCAGTTAAGCCTTCCGAATTCAAATCATCACCCGGCCAGACAACAGCTCCACGTGCATCATACTTTGGTGTTCCATAATTTACGAGTTGTTTCCAAAGAAATAGAGTTATACCAGTGGTTATTACATATCCTGTACCCAACCAGAACGTGAAAGTACTATAATTTAAAAGGATTCGATAAAGAATATAAACTGCCTGAAATAAATCAACGTATTTTGAGTTAGGTTAGATAAATACAACCTTTTAATGGATTAACATTAGCTTTTGAACCTACGTTCACAGATAAGAAACCAAGCTTGAGATTTTTTAAATATCGAAGATTTTCTTGAGAGATTTTCTTATCCGATTGCTTTGCCTTTAATACAATACAAAATTAATTTTATAAAAGAATAACTACGTTTAAGTAACGGAATTAAAAAAGGATTAATACCATGTATAATAAATTAAATAGAAATAAGGGAACTTGCAAGTATTATCAAACATCAAAAAAACTTTTAAAAAAGACAAAACTGTAGGATGCAGATCATCACCCATGATGGTAAGAAAAATAATTGAAGGTTTACATAAATATTTTAATGACGTTTGAAGGTTTTACATTTAGTAATAAAAAAAAATTTAGTAATAAAAAAAAAGTTGAAATAATTTCATAAAGGGAACCTTCATTTGCCTAATCCACGAATTAAGGATCAAAAATATTACGAAATTAACAATTTATACCTCATTCTCGACAAATCTTCTAAATATTGAATTCGGTATAATAGGCTGAATTCATATTTGGATTTAAATTACATAATGTATTATATAAAGTCAGACAATAATATAATAATATATTAAAATCAAATTGTGATGCATAGAAACAAAAAATTTTAGGCTTTTAAGTGAGAGTAACTTTCATTAAAGAGAGTTGCTAAACCATGAAGAAAAGTAAAATAACTTGCTTTCCTGAAGAAAAGTTTGCTAACTAAGGAAAGCAAATATAACATGTTAATCACAAAGGAAAGTAAACATAATAAATGTTAATCTCAAGGAAAGTGAATAAAATTTGCTATTTTAAAGGAAAGTAAA